CCACAATTACTATTAACAGGGATTAGTTCAGTAGCTGCTTTCCAAATACCATTTGACATCCATGGAGTTACAGCTAAACCCACAGAAACTAGCTTCTGCATTCCACAGTCAGGTTATAAACAGGACTAATTTATTGGCTCAATTAAAGGCATAATGGAAAGATATAGTTTAATGTGAACCTTGTGAATCACCTGTGAAAATAAACTGAAATAAAGTAATTCTGCCTCTTAGTAGCTGGACTGAAACATTTTGTGGCTATTGAAAAGTTATATTTTAATGCTTTTGGACCAAGGTAATTTTGTTTTACTCTCTTCGTTTCAGGTGAGAATGGTTTAATTGGATAGGCATTTCTACCAATTCATTAAGGACTGAATCTTAGTCCTACTGAATGAGTTTCTCCATTGACTTAAATGGAGCTCGATTGGGCCCTTTTTTTCCCTTGACTCATTTTACCTTATGCAGCATTACAAAAATGTATTTTCATTCTTTCAGCATTTTTCTTTTACATGAGTTAATGAATACTGGTTTAAACACACTATTATGAGATTTATTTCAGAATCCTAGGAATGTGAGTGCCATCTATCTATTACAAAGGGCTTCTTTGGGGACTTTCTGATAGCATTTCAGACAAGCATGCGTACGTGATTTAACCTTGCAATAGAGATAACCCTCCGTAAAGAGATTCTTGTAATGGAAGTACACAACTGAATATAAATATATAGTTCACATCTGTCACAGAGCAACATCTGAACAAAATTACCTCCATTTCTGCCACTGTAACACCTGCACCTTTTCTTTAGAAACAGCAGGAATCCTTTATTCATTGTAACAGCCCATTAGGATTTTGGTATGAGGTTGTTGTTTTTTATTGTAACTAGCAGAACAGTTTAGTATAGTCTTCAGATTTATAATGCTTAAAAAACTGTAGGTATTTTACATAAAAGGTCAAATGTAAGTGCCTACCTACTAGGTTGGAGGAATATGGACAGGGAATCTGAGGGCTGAGCTAGTCCAATTGGGATGCAAAGAGTGGACATTTTTAACCCTCGGGACTTTGTATGTTGTTGTCACAAAAATACATGAGCTGCGTGATTTACACTAAAATAGATCCGTTTGCTCTTCTGGTTGAAAAGCTGGACAGAAACTAGGACTACAGATAAAGTTGAAAGTTATGATGTTGAAAGCAACCTCATTTATCATGTGATGTAATAATGGAAAGACTAAGTTCAAGTTGGGGGAAGGGTTGGAGTTTGCTCCAGACTGAGCTATAAACGTTTGCTCCAGACTGAAACGTGGCACACAAAGTCTCAGTGCAGAAGGATCTCTTCTCTATCTTTTTTTAAATGACTGAATTTGAAAATAGACATTTAATTCTCAGCAAGTTATACAAAAAAACCTCCATCAGAAGTCAGTTTCCTTCCTCTCTCCTATTACTCAAAAATCATTTCAGTTTTGTTTGTTTGTTTGACTAAATTTGAAATGGTTTGTCCTTAGTGCACAACCTGTACTAGTATTCAGTGCATAACCTAAACTAATCTTTCAAAATTGTGGAACAAAACAGTATCAACAGAGTGGGCATATTTTGTTTTTCTTAAGGAGAAACAAAAGGTGTACGAACAAGAATTTTAAAATTAAGATTTCATAGTATTTTTCTCCGTGTCTACTTAGGGCCTAATCCTGCCTTTGCAGACATTTATGCGTAATGTCTCTAAAAGAAAACTTTGGACTTGATAGGGAAGTGCTCTACATTGGAGACCTGAACTGTTACAGTTTGCACTGGTGGAACAGCAGTGGTGTATTAAGAGTACAATAGCCCTGTAGTTTCATGTGTACATGTGATTCCACACCGGACTCCTTCCAACCACTACAGTAGAACTGCATGGGGATTACTTATCCCACAGTTCCCGGTATGGCTACTTGCAGCAGGTGCTTTACAGAACCATAGCTGGCAACAATATTAGGCCCTGACTTTGTAATGAGAGGCCTGTACTCTCATTAGGCTCTGCATTCAGATGCAAAACCATGAAATGGGGCTCTGCAAGGACACACGTCTGTTCATAGAGTTCTTATTGCAGTATCGGGACCTAAATTCATACAATATAATAAATCTTCTCATATAATTATATTCTATGTAAGATAATTAGAATGGGTAAAAAAAACAATTTTTCATGAAGATTCATGAAAATTATGTATAAAATATAAAAAAAATCAAACAAAAATTAATCATCTCTATAGTTAATATTTATCACTAGTTAAGTCTATTATAACAGTTGTCACATAATTCAATATAGCAGGTAAAATACAAATAGTTTAACAAATTATTGGATACAGTTTCCTTCCTAATTGTTTGTAATTGGCTGCCAGCCCCATTGGTTTAATCCAATATTGCTTCCAGTTGTGTCTGCTCTGGATGAAGATACGTGCATGTAGCCCCAAGAACTCTGCCTTTGCAACCCACTGGTGTGTGTGTGTATTTACAGATCCCACCCACTCCATGCCTGATCCTCAGAGGATACAAATCTGCTCCAGCTTCAACTGGAGAGCCTTGGACTTTTAGTTCAAGCCATAGCAGCTCATGCTTTTGGCTCTGGAGATCCCTGGTTCAATCCCCAGTTTGTCAGACACAAAGGTGGCTGTCACACCTTCATATTGTCTCTGCAGAGGCTGCCGAGGTCATTCCTCTTCCTCAGATCAAATGTAGTCGTGGCACTCAGGAACATATTACAGTGAGCAATGACACATGTGGGTGTCAGTGCTTGAGAAAGAGAGCAAATTGTTCTTTATTTCGGGGGATGGTTTGTTAAATGTTTTTCCTGTGAAGTTTCTTGTTTTTCAAAATATACAAAATACTTCTTTTTGTTTCTTTACGAGGATCCAGAGACAGGCACGGCACTGTAATACAGCAACGGGAGAACCAGCTGAACTGTTGCAGCTGCCACCCTTGTCCTTGTTCTCTAGACGAGCGCTGCAATGGTGCAGACTGACACAGCAGTGGCTGACCCCATGTTTAGTTTTTCTCAGTACAGTACCAACAATGGCTGAAAACCTCTGCACATTTGGTAGTAATTCTGTGGGTGTAACTGGCATCATAAGGGTTTTGCAAGACCAAAGTTCTCTAGCACAGACAAGCATAGACACAAAGCTCCCTCAGCTCTGGTCAATGTCAGGGAAAATTCAGAGCACTCCAAGCCTCACAGAAATAGCACCTGGCAGGATCGTGCCCATAGTGCGCGTTCACAGCAATTACACCAACATTTTAACAATATTGTCAGTTATAACTGAAAGCGACAATAGCCCACTGGTTTCTGCATTTTGCCCTCCCTTTTTCTGTCTTGTCTGTTAAGGTGTTCAGGTGAGGGACTGTGTTTGTCTATTGCCTAGCATAACAGGGCTATGAACAAAGCTCATACTAAATGTAATACATGTTACTAATTATTAATAATTATTAACAGTATTAATAATATATACATTAAACAGATCCAAGTATAAGAACTGTGACCATTCCAAAGGACGAACTAATTTTCTAGTGTCTCAATAATCTACTAATAAGGGGTCTAATTATTAATTAAGAGTGAAATCCACTCCTGCGCAGAGTGCCAACACGAGGCCAATGCACCATATAAATCCTTCTTAAATCCTATTAAGGGTTTAAGGGCTTAGTGGGACGTAAGTGATGCACAGACCTCTCCATTTCACTTTAAGTGCTTAAGAAACAAAATGCACCACAAGTACTGAGCCATGTGACTAATACAGTTCTATGGAATGCTGGCACTTCGCAGAATGCTTCTGCGCGGCCATCGGCAGGAAAGTAGTATATCATATTCTTTCACTGACAATGTAACAGCAACAACTTACCAATGGCCCATCCCATGCACTTCAAGTAAACATAGTCTAACGTTAATCCTACACATGATCATGACACATTGCCAAAGCTGAGTGACAACGGCACAACAAAAGGCAGCATAACCAAAGAACTGAAGTTGATGGCAGAGACAATCAACAGCTCAACAGGGCAGTGTGCTACGTGCTACACATATGTGACATAGGAAAGGGGGGGGGTGAGAAAACCTGGATTTGTGCTGGAAATGGCCCAACTTGATTATCATACACATTGTAAGGAGAGTGATCACTTTAGATAAGCTATTACCAGCAGGAGAGTGGGGTGGAAGGAGTATATAATGTCTCTGTGTATATAATGTCTTCTGCAGTTTCCACAGTATGCATCCGATGAAGTGAGCTGTAGCTCACGAAAGCTTATGCTCAAATAAATTGGTTCGTCTCTACGGTGCCACAAGTCCTCCTTTTCTTTTTGCGAATACAGACTAACACAGCTGTTACTCTGAAACCTGTCAGGATAGCCATAGACATCTAGGGTGTAGTGTGACGGAGAAGGCTTCAAGCCAAGCCCCTTTCAACTACCTGAGAAGTGTGGGAATCTACTTACTAATTACAGTGGGTTATTGCTTTTATAAGTATGTAAAACATAGCTATAGTTCACACCAACATGCGCATGTGTATATACATGCGAGTGCACTCACACAAATACAGTGATTAGACAATCACACAATGTGTTTTTATTTGAGAATTTAGATGTGATCCGGGAAAGGCAGTATCTGACCTTCAAATCAAAACTAAATATTTAAGCACTATTGTTTTTCTAACTGTTTTTACTGAAATATGTATCTTAGAAATGAAATCAGTTTCAATATGAGCCAGAAATATTTAATAAGCTGCGAGATAGGAAAATATAGTATTAAAATAGTAAAAAGTTTTGATTCTTTACAGTTAATTTTTTTTTAAATCTAATTGGGACCAACTGGCCTCATTGCTTCTTATAAACTTTGCAATATATATTATGAAAAAGAAATAAAAATGAACAGATGTTTCTCCTTAAAGAAGTCAGACAAAGATTTTTCTTACACAATAAATCAGCTGCTAGTGGATTTCCAGGACACTGCTCCAGGCAAACTGTTTAGGTATGGCTTTAAAACCTGATTTACCTCTGTATGTATCCAAAACTGGTAAAGGAGATTAAACTGGAGATGAACAGCATATACTGATGGAGGAATAAAAAGAGCCATAGGCAAGTAGAAAACCTGAAATATGAGAGAGAAAATATACATGTGTTTATGATTCAAAATTTTTCATATATTGTAAATACTTTCAATTATATATCATCTGAGATCTCAAAGGACTTTATAAACATTAATTGAACCTTACAGCACCTCTTGTGAGATATATATTATAGAAAAATAATAGATAGTAATAATTACTGTTATATTACTACTAGCAGTAGTAAAGGGAGACACAAAAAGTTTACATAAATGACTTGTCAAAGGGCACACAACAAGCAAGTGGCAGTAAGAGAATCCAGGAATTCTGACTCCAAAATTCTTATTCTGATCACTAGACAATACTCCTATAAGCATATATTTGACAATAACTACTATATTTTCCTGACTCTAACGATGATAAAAATGTGCTATAATTAAAACAGCTGTCATGTTTTTAGTATTTGCTGATCTTAAATATCCCACGCTCTTTGTCATACTGCCATGAACTTAACTTGCCTACCTAGGAAAGACACTACTGTCATACAGGGAGAATAATCTCATGTTAGTTTTCACAATTAGGTATTCAAATGGCTCTTTAAATAATGTCATCAAGTGAGAACTCTGGGACCCTCACATCCAAAAAAAGTTCATAGTCTTCCTTCCTTGCAAATAGGGTTTATCTCACTGGTTTTTTCACTTGACACAGTATGAAACAACAACCACATGGAGTAAGGGCTAGGGAAAGAAGTTTTTCTAGACAAAATAAAATCCAGGAGATGTATCTCAGAAAAAATGGGGGAATGGATAAGTGCATAGGTGAGAGACTTTTGGTGGCAAAACAGAAAGGCTCCCTTTGCATAGATTCCAAAGTCAAAAGGGACCATTGTGATCATCTAGTTTAACATGAATAACTCAGGTCATAGAACTTCCCTGAAATAAGTCCCAGAGCATATCTGTGACCTAAGAATCTCTTAATGCTAACTGGCAGAGGGTGCAGAGGAGTTACAGGTATTTCCTGAGTCAGATATGCACATTCTAATTCATCAAAGAATGTCATGTGAGGTCTCATATAAAAGCCAGTGTCACACTCATCATCAAAATCATTGTGAAATACATGTATGGATGTTGTGTAAGGAATTATGTGTATATACTGAAAATATGCTCTTTAAGTGTCTGTCAAGGTAGTAGTCATCAGTAAAGGTGAAAAACAGGTTTTCTGTCAGGAAAGAGATGTTTAGCCATTTAAGCGTTTACATATTAATTGAGTATCGTCTCATTCACAGTGGGTCTCCTATCACTAGTCTGAAATTAATGCAAATAAAGGGTTTGAAGACTTCAGAAAGAAACGAACAGAAAGAGAAAAGCTGAGGGAGGGAGTAAGGGAGAACCCTATCTGGAGGTGTACATCACAGGCTTGTTTGAGTATATTTAGGGGGACAGAGGAGTCACCCTAGCACCTTCCACTGAGGAAATAAAAGGCCAGTGAATTTGCTTCATGAAAAAGGGCCTCAGCCAGGCTTGGTTGAAAATGCTGGAGAACTTTGGGTGAAATAAGTTTCTTTAGACAAGATAGTAAATTGTTAGTTAAGTTTAGTCTCTAGAAAGCGTGTTGTGAATTTGTTTTGTATTTCTTTGGAAATAAACTTATTCTTGTTTTATATATGAATATATCTAGGTGCTGTGGTGTTAAATAAAGTGATGGCCCTGAGCTGAATCTTGCAAGCTGGTGCGTACTATGCCTTTGGGAACAGCAGGTGCCTGATAATTTTGAGAGTGTTCAGTGGAAGGGCTGGACATTACAGGGAATGCTCCAAGTATTCAAGACTTGGTTTGTGTCTATCGCTACCTGTATAGAGAGAATGAAGCTAGTGGAGGCATAGAATGTAGTGCCTGGGATGCCAAAGACTGGGAGATTCAGGGAGCTGACCCACAGCAGGCACAGACAAGACGGCTTCACACTAAGTGCAGGTGGGCAAGATCCAAACTTCATTTTAAAGGTGCTAGTGACAGAGAATCCAACACAACCTTTTGTAAATTGTTCCAATGGTAAACCACCCTCACTGTTAAAAATCTGAACCGTGCAATATGTAGGAGAACTGGCAAAGTCCATTGTCAGACTCCTGTAAGCCATTTTAAAAGACTCATGGATGGAGCACCACAAGAAGCAGCTGATAGAGGTAGTAAGAATCCTGAACTCAGACTGTCTTGGTACTGTCAAGTTAAAGGCGGCATTTATATAGCGTTCAATGTCTTCGGGGATAATTTCCAACAGGAAATAAATAGACTAAAAGGTGTCTGTTTTGCACATAGCTGACACAATAAGGTCCTTCTAAAAACACAGACTTTCTTCAACTACAGCAATAAATACAAAGGCCACATCTGATGGTTTTCCATTGCTTTGTTTCATTGCTCCTCCAAGCAACAGAAATGTTTCTACTTTGTTAGTTACTATGTGCGTTCATGTAAGCAGCCTCATGTTATGCTCCTGCATAATTAAACCATAGAATGGTTAGAACATCAGGAAAAAGGACAATCTGCAATTTTATTATAATCACTCTGATCCTCAAAGGCTGAGATTTTGGCACAAATGTTTTATTAAATGAAAACAAAATGAAAATATTTAATTGTAAAACAGAGCAGAATTAAAATCCATAGTTCCACTGTTTGGGTCTTTCTGAATACATAACCTTGTGTTTGCAAAACACCATGCACTTTTTCCAAGTGACTTTCTCTCTTTCGTTGATTTCTTTGAACTGTTTACTTATGCACTTTTAAGAACCCATTTCCTTATAAAGAAATAAAAGTGGGCTAGAGGTGGCATTTTTACAGGGGAGTTGGATTCTTTGGGACATGTTCTGTAATATTTCACACTCCATGCAAGAGGTTACACAAGGTATAAATCGGCACAGAATTATTGCCTTTTATACATGGAACTTCTCAAAAGACACCTCATGCAAAGGTCACAGGAGAAGCAGCATGCAGGCAAGATTTAGGTGAGCCCAGTGCAATGACACTGGTGCAATCAACTGTATTATTCTCATGACATGTTTAATTATCTCCTTTTGCCTGAAGATAGCATGGGTAATTTAGTGGTATTTATAGATGATGTGGAGAGGAATTAAGGATCATCTTCATATTTACGAGTCTACTCTGAACCCCCTCTATGACAAATATATGGATTTCTGTTGTAAGTAGTGAGCTAGGAAAAATCTTTCTATAAATCTATAGGTCAATTTAAGATTGACAACACAGCACATTTCGTATGCTTCTTTGCAATTTAAGCTGTATCCAGTAAAGAATGTTTTTGTAAGGGTCACCTGCAGAAGTGTCTGATGTGGGGAGGGGTGAAAACTCCTCCCACACAGAAGAAACAGGATTTTGTTCCTAAAATCTGTGCTTCTGCTATAGGCCCTAAACCATTTTTCCAGGTCTTCTTCTCAGGGCAAGCCTCAAGACCATCCTCTCAGCCTAAGAAGAGATCTGCTTCTCTACTTCGAACCCACTAGACTAACACAAATGTTTCCTACACACATGACAAAGTTATAGGCATTTGATTCAAAGTTCAAGAATATGTTTCACACCACTGCTTGCACTTGAAGTATGTCTTTCTCTTCTCTTTCCCTTCATATCTTTTCAATCAGCCTGCACACAACCCACACAATACACTCAACCCAGATTAATATACAGATTTATCTTATAATGTTTAACTTAAAACACATACAGAGCTGGCAGCAGAACAGTCCCACAATCCCACATTATCCACCACAACATTCTCACATGCCTCTTCATATGTTTCAACAAAATGAGATGTCAAACTGCCTTCAACTGCATATGCTCAGAGACATCAGATATCACTTAGAGATTGACAATAACCCTTCACTTGATTATGTTTAAAGGCAAACAAACACACACACACACACACGATTCTTCCTTATGTAGGCAGCTCAGAAAATGGTAGTTCTTTAAGAATTAGCATGGGTTTCCTGGAGCACGAGTATTTACAAAATGTGTGTTTAAGTGATGGCCATGCTTCAGAAAGAGATAATTTTCACCCTTGCTTTTACACAATCTAGACCAGTGGTGCGCAAGACCGCCCCTGGGGCAAGCGGCAGGAGGAGCGCCGCCAAAGGAGTGCTGCCGGCACGGCGGCAGCAGCTCTCCTGGGCCTTTGATTCGCCGGCAGCACGCCCGCAGCAGCTCGGCTCTCCCCGCTCCATCTTCGGTGGCACGCCAGCGGCAGCTCTTTTTCGTTTTTTTTTTTTGCTTTCCTAGAGCTGGCCTTGGGGGTGCGTGATCCAAAAAGTTTGGAGACCACAGTTCTAGACAACTCCACCGACAAGACAAACATTAAATCTCTATTTGCTTTTCTCAGATGTGAAAGAGCAATGCACACCATGATGTTAACTAGTTCTAGTCTATGTAGCTTTCTATATCACGTGCATCACTGTGATATCTGACTGCCTGCCAGTAGTCCATTCAGTAACTTGACAATGCATTTGTCACTTATTGTTTGTCCTCCCATCCTCTCCCCAGAGGGAGAAGCCTGCATAGTAGCGGAGTGTCTTGTTTTGGTAGGGTGTAGGGTTTTTTGTTTTTTAAATATAAATATACCTGTTGCTATGTGTTTACGTAAAAGAAGGCAAGCTAGGATCATTACTTCTTAGCTTGATTTCCCATGGCTCCAGGCTAATATACCTTGTAATTTGGTTTGAAAGCTGGTGCCAGCATCAACCTTGGTACTGTCTACAGCATCCCATCCAGTCGTTTCACAGGCAGTTCTCCCACTGGTCCCAGTTAAGAACATAAGAACATAACAACAGCCATATGGGTCAGACCAAAGGTCCATCTAGCCCAGTATCATGTCTTCCGACAGTGGCCAATGCCAGGTGCCCCAGAGGGAATGAACAGAACAGGTAATCATCAAGGGATCCATCCCCTTTTGCCCATTCTCAGCTTCTGGCAAAGAGGGGTCTATGGACCCCATCCATGCCCATCCTGGCTAATAGCCATTGATGGACCTATTCTCCATGAATTTATCTAGTTCTTTTTTGAACCCTGTTATAGTCTTGGCCTTCACAACTCCTCTGGCAAAGAGTTCCACAGGTTGACAGAGTGTTGTGTGAAGAGATACTTCCTTTTGTTTGTTTTAAACCTGCTGCCTATTAATTGCATTTGGTGGTCCCCAGTTTTTGCATTATGAGAAGGATAACACTTCCTTATTTACTTTCTCCACATAAGTCAGGATTTTATAGACCTCTATTATATCCCCCCTTAGTTGTCTCTTTTCCATGCTGAAAAGTCCCAGTCTTATTAATCTCTCCTTGTACGGCAGCCGTTCCTTACCCCCAATCATTTTTTTGCCCTTTTCTGCACCTTTTCCAGTTTCAATATATATATTTTTGGATGGGGCGACCAAATCTGCACACAGTATTCAAGATGTGGGCGTACCATGGATTTATTCAGAGGCAATGTGATATTTTCTGTCTTATTATCTATCCCTTTCTTAATGATTCCCAACATTCTGTTTGCTTTTTTGACTGCTGCTGCACATTGAGTGGATGTTTTAAGAGAACTATCCACAATGACTCCAAGATCTCTTTCTTGAGTGGTAACAGATAATTTAGGCCCCATCATTTTATATGTATAGTTGGGATTATGTTTTCCATTGTGCACTACTTTACATTCATAAACATTGAATTTCATCTGACATTTTGTTGCCCACTCACCCAGTTTTGAGAGATCCTTTTGTAGCTCTTGCAGTCTGCCTGGGAACTTAACTATCTTGAGTAGTTTTGTATCGTCTGCAAATCTTGTGACTGTTTTCCTCTTTTCCCAGATCATTTATGAATATGTTGAATAGTACTGGTCCCAATACAGACCCTTGGGGGACACCACTATTTACCTCTCTCCATTCTGAAAGCTGATCATTTATCCTACCTTTGTTTCCTATCTTTTAACCAGTTACTGATTCCAGAGAGGACCTTGTCTCTTACCCCATAACAGCTTACTTTGCTTAAGAGCCTTTGGTGAGGGACCTGGTCAAAGGCTTTCTGAAAATCTAAATACACTATACCCACTGGATCCCGCTTGTCCACATGCTTGTTGACCCCCTCAAAGAATTCTAATAGATTGGTGAGGCATGATTTCCCTTTACAAAAACCATGTTGACTATTGCCCAATAAGTTATGTTCATCTATGTGTCTGACAATTTTGTTCTTTACTATAGTTTCAAACAGTTTGCCCAGCACTGAAGTCAGGCTTACTGGGCTATAATTGCCAGGGTCACCTCTGGAGCCCTTTTAAAAAATTGGTGTCACATTAGCTATCCTCCAGTCATTTGGTTCAGAAGCTGATTTAAATGATAGGTTACGGACTACAGTTAGTAGTCCTGCAATTTCACATTTGAGTTCCTTCAGAACTCTTGGGTGAATACCATCTTGTCCTGGTGACTTATCACTGTTTAGTTTATCAATTTGTTCCCAAACCCCCCCAATGACACCTCAATCTGGTACAATTCTTCAGATTTGTCACCTAAAAAGAATGGCTCAGGTTTGGGAATCTCCCTCACATCCTCAACCATGAAGACCGATGCAAAGAATTCATTTAGTTTCTCTATAATGGCCTTATTGTTCTTGAATGCTCCTTTAGCATTTGAATGATCCAGTGGCCACACTGGTTGTTTAGCAGGCTTCCTGCTACTGATATACTTAAAAATTTTTTTGCTATTACTTTTTGAGTCTTTGGCTAGCTGTACTTCAAATTTTCTTTTGGCCTTCCTAATTGTATTTTTACACTTAATTTGCCAGAGTTTATGCTCCTTTCTATTTTCCTCAGCAGGATTTAACTTCCATTTTTTAAAGGATGTATTTTTGCCTCTCACTGCTTCTTTTACTTTGTTGTTTAGCCATGGTGGCTCTTTTTTGGTTCTCTTACTATGTCTTTTTAATTTGGGGTATACATTTAAGTTGAGTCTCTATTATGGTGTCTTTAAAAAGTTTCCATGCAGCTTGCAGGGGTTTGACTTTTGGTGCTGTAGCTTTTAATTTCTGTTTAACTAACCTCCTCATTTTTGTGTAGTTTCCCTTTCTGAAATTAAATGCTACAGTGTTGGGCTGCTGCGGTGTTTTCCCTGCCACAGCGATCTTAAATTGAATTATATTATGGTCACTATTACCAAGCGGTCCAGCCATATTCACCTCTTGGACCTAATCCTGTTCTCCACTTAGAACTAAATCAAGAATTGCCTGTCCTCTTGTGGGTTCCAAGACCAGCTGCCCCAAGAAGGAATCATTTAAGGTGTCAAGAAACTTTCTCTCTGCATCCTGTCCTGAGGTGATATGTACCCAGTCAATATGGGGATAGTTGAAATCCCCCATTATTACTGAGTTTTTTTTATTTTAATAGCCTCTCTAAACTGCCTGAGCATTTCACAGTCACTATCACCATCCTGGTCAGGTGGTTGGTAATATATCCCTACTGCTATATTCTTCTTATTCGAGCATGGAATTACTATCCATAGAGATTCTATGATACAGTTTGGTTCATTTAAGATTTTTACTTCATTTGATTCTATGCTTTCTTTCACATATAATGCCACTCCCCCACCAGCACAACCTGTTCTGTCCTTCTGATATATTTTGTACCCTGGTATTACTGTGTACCATTGATTATCCTCATCCCACCAAGTTTCTGTGATGCTTATTATATCAATAGCCTCATTTAATACAAGGCACCCATCTTATTATTTAGACTTCTAGCATTGGTATATAAGCACTTTAAAAACTTGTCACTTTTTAGAGGTCTCCCATTACATGATGTAATTGAATGAGACTTTTTTTCATTTGACTGTTTCTCATCAGATCCTACCAGTATGTTATCTTCCATGCTCTCCTCCTTACTAGGACATAGAGAATCTCCATTCGTAGATCCTCCCCAAAGGAATGTCTCTGTCCGAAACACGTGTTCCTCCATACCTGTCGGCTTTCCCCATGTCTTCATTTACCCCAGCATAGATCCAGAGTAAGTCCATTTTCTTCACTGCTGTTACTCCATGTCTATGCTGGCATTATGAAGAAGAATTATTCCATTGTGTTTAGAAAGTTATGAATGTGTGAAAGCCTGGGACTATAATTGTCCTCCTCAAAGTTGACTTTATTTCTCCTTTTCACACATCTCAATGGAGAGTGTGAGCATACCTATTTTTGATTCACATAATTCTCAGGATGCCTCAGATTACCTTTCTGCGCTGTGCTTTTCGGTGTCTAACATTTTCCTTCAGACAAAATTAAATAGCTGTGATTTTAAATAGCAGTTATTTTTAATAAAGTTCAATTATATTATTGCATTTTGCATAACTTACCCAAGAAACGTATCTCTGCAGTGCAGATTGTCTCAGTGCTGTGGATAAGTTATAAGCTTCAGAACTATGATGTACTTGGTGTGCTGCCCACAATATATTAACCTCTGCAAAACACATAATTTCTAATGAGGCATGAAAGAAAGAACAAAGAACATTCATCTCTCATGACTTTTTTTTAACCTATAAGCAAGTGATTCCAAAATTTACACTTTGCTATTTTATCATAATATGGCAGGTAATAAAAACTCACCTTCAGAGCTGAATTTAGAGGTGATGAAGAGAATGGTGTAGGTTAAACATTGGTAAGTGGACACAAGTGGTTGTAATCTACTTGCTGAGGGAGCAGAAGAATCGGGATACAAAAGAAAGTAGAAGGCTTTAAGAGAATATGAGATGAAGGGTCAGGGGATGGCAGCCTTGGTTAAATTATACTTCCACCAGGAATTTTCCCATTGACTTCAAAGGGACAGAATTTGGTGTGCATTCATTTGTTTTGCATTTGTGTACTCATGTACCATACTTCAGGTTTCCTTCAGACTTGGATACTGAAAATGTTTTAGTGCTTGATGAGTAAAGAAACAATTTAAATAGTAGCTGTTAAAAGGCTTTCTGGGACATTTCAGTCTTCAAGCCCACCTGGAAACTCACACCACAAGGACATGACCATTGTCTGCCTATTAACAAGAAATGGAAAAACAAAGCATTCTGCTATTACTGTCTGGGAACTTTGGATTCAGTCAAAAGATAGTGACTGGGGCAGTTTAATGGTGAGGTTTGGGCGAGGCTAGCGTAGGTCACATGCCCAAAGGCATGACACTTTTGATTTGCTGCATGTTTCGGAGCAATATAGAGAAACACTAACAGTTTACAGAATAGCAATGGGCCATCTTGATTATCACTACAAAAGTTTTTTTTTCTCCTGCTGATAATAGCTCATCTTAATTAATTAGCCTCTTACTCCACCTTTTCATATTCCCTGTAGATATATATATCTTCTTACTATGTGATCCATTCTATGCATCCGATGAAGTGGGCTGTAGCCCAAAAGCTTATGCTCAAATAAATTTGTTAGTCTCTAAGGCGCCACAAGTACTCCTGTTCTTTTTACTAACTGTTTACCAAGGCATTTTTTCCTTAAGTACCACTCTAGGCGACCTTGTTGTGATGAAACTTTGAAAATCTAAAGATGTTTGGGCAGCCTTAAGTGGGAGGTTATCAAGCAGCAAGGAAAGCCAAAATCTTTCATAGCCACCAGATGTATAGCAAGAGGCTGTGAGGAAGGTCTTAATTACACTATGATGAGAAGGCGGGTGGTTAATGCAGCCCCATAATGTGCCTTTTTAGCTTGCAACTAAATTAAAGGTCACATATGTTTAAAGGGGTGAAATTTACATAAAGTCTCAGCTGATACAGAATTCGAAAACTGATTGGCTGACAGCCAGTTAAACCTTCCCCACTAATGGCAATGTTTCACTGGAACAATTAGGAAACTGCCTTTGGCAGATATTGGGATCCCATCCATAAGCGTGATTTTACAAATGTGTATTCAAATGCTTTGAAATCATCTAGTGCCAAACTATGTCAAATGTTTCAGGACTGATGATTAACACATAGTTGTAATGTAAACGGATGCCAAATCAAACACCTTAATGAATCTCAAGGTGTCTTCATCATTTCAAGGGACTAGAGAAATAACAGAGTGCCCTATACGCTAGAAATTAGAATTTCTGTATCTAATGAACCTTGACAAGTTAGCAATTTATAAGGCAGCTTCATCATTTCTGATTGTCCTCCAAGCCTTTGAAAATCCTTATGATAGCTGTCTTGAAACTATAATTTAAACTACCTATCACAAAAAATAGGTAACACTCAATCTGAGAAACCTTTATTCCTTAAATGTCTCTTCTCCTGAAGTAACAAGTGTGCAATCTATTTAACATTTGTCATCTTTTCTTTTTTGTAGGTGGGTGGGGGGGGCGAAGAGACATCTTAATACACACTGCCTTAATGAGCTCACCAGGAGATGAATTATTCAGGTGAGCTTCAATACTGTGTAATAATTTGTATTTGAAATGCTTCCCAAGACCTCGACAGAAGCTAAATGAGTGAACAAAGAATCTAAAAAGGTGGAGGTTAAAAACCTGTCGTCTTAGTTGTTTTAAAAGCATTTACTTCCTATCACAAACTGTGTGTAACACAAGCCCTTCACTCAATGAAGTACAGCTGTACAAACAAGGTACAGTAACTGGATCTTCCTTATTTCCCTCAGTCATTTTTCAGCATTGTGAAAAGTTCAAGGAAGGGAATCTGTGTTGATTTTTACAGTCTACATTCATTCTGGTTAAGGTCAAATGGTTTTCAAAACTAATTACTAAAACGACATTTTATTAACAGAGTTAAACATTTAAAAAGCCTCTTAATCTAATGAGCAGGCTAACTGCACGTTAAAAATCTTCTCAAATGTGAGACAATCGATTTGGAAGATCAGTAAGTTGAAAATACAGTAGAGCAGTATCAGAAAAAACAAACAATACTGCCGTGAGTAATCAGTCTAAGAATATTTTCTGATCTTTATGTTGCACTCCATTAAATCTTTAATCCTGCTCTCACTGAAGTTAATGGAAAAAACTCACCCTGAATTCACTGGGAGCAAGAGCTACCGTGACTAGACATCCTGATAATATCGGGATCATCCCGATATTAGGGGCTTTGTCTTATATACGCAAGTATTCCCGCCCATGCCACCCTTGAAAAAAAAGTGTCCCTATTTTTAACACTTTCTATCTAGTCACAACAGCAAAGGGCAGAGTCAATAATCTGAAATGAATTTTATCCTATTTTAGCTGAATAAACTGACCACCACTAATATTCATGCTATTTTTTATCTGAAGCAGTTTAACATTACTGTCCCCATGTGCACTGCAACAGATCTGGGTTTATAAAATCATCCAAAAGATCAAGCTTGGAATTATCAGCATTTTTTAACAGTATTTTTTTTCAAATGTCACCTTTAACAGCAACTATTAGCTTTTACCTATAAAAGAGTCAAAATTGTCATTTACGCTTTCCCAAACTATTACAGTGAAATTGGAGGAGATGCAAAAATATGACAGAACTAATCATTTCCATGAAATCGCAACATTTATTATGGTTTTGCAATCTGTTTTCATTTTGGGAAATAGTGCCAAACAACTTGTGTTGCTCGAGTATAGGCCTGATAAAGGGGAGTTTCGCCAAAGGACTGCAGGATTTGGCCTCAAAATTGAAGAAGAAAAAAACGAACAAAAATAGTAATATTTTCTGTCTTGTCTGCACTGACAACTGGTAGCCAAGTGGGGGGAATGCTTCATTTTAAAGACAAGGCATTATTCTGCAATAATGCTCTGAAACTCCCCTTGCATTTAACTGAAGTTTTTATCCTGCTCTGGACTGCAGAATTGCATCTTCTGTAATACATCAGGAAAGACCAGTGATGAAAGAATAAATAGCAGCACTTACACTAACAAGAGTTTATAACTGTGACTAAGAAGCCTGAATCTAGGCATCAATCTATTGTTATTATTATACAATATCCAGCTACAAATAATATGCTGTAAAATACAAAATACGTCTCAAAGGTAAAATGCAGAGCAACCAGGGAAAATAACTTATTGTTCACTAATCAGTAGCATCAGGAACAGAAATTAAAGTGTCTCAGGAACGCTTACGTGGCAATATTTTTAAATTTCCATGAATCAAAGAGAAGACAAATTACTGAGGAAAATATAATTGTAAAACACTGTCTTTCCCCCTTCCTTAGGGTAAAAAGTAGACGTGCACCCAATGCCTATTTTTAAAAGAACAGATAATAAAATAAAAAAGATGGGCAAAATCTGTACCCTTTTCCTCTCCATTCCCATTCCCCAAAAGAACCAAGGAAAGTAGGCACTTATGGAATTTGAGGTGCTAGCTATATAAAGCTTCAACAAAACACAGTTTCATTTTTTCTTAGTCATGCATGATTAACAAGTGAGCTGAAAAATTTAATTGAACAGAACACAATAAAATTAGAAATAGGTATCAGAACAACGGTTATGATTTAAAGTATTATATGCAACAGTTGATGGACAATGTCTCAAAAAAAAACAAACCCTCATTTTCCTCCTAAAATCTACTTATGAAGGGCCAAATCCAGAGGTCTGCTCAGGAAAACTCCCACTGAATTCAGTGGCTCCAACTCCCATGTAACTTCATGGAGAATTAGTGTGGGAACTAAGTGAAAACTAAATAAAAATTGAGGGTCAGATCACAACATTCCTCTCCCTCCCCAATCCACAGAAGGGTTCTTCACAGTAACGATTTTACGTCTCTTCTTTGGGAGTGGGAGGTGGTTAACCATCTACACGACACTGTAACCCCTTTCCTGGGACCCCACAGAGGGCTGTCTCTGAGGTCAGGATCTACATGGGGCTGATAGTATAGAAGATACACACTTTGTCTCTCATTGGCCCTACTGAAATTACTTCAGTAAGGTAATACCCTGGAGCTGTCCTACTCTTATCTAAGGATAAGTGCAGGGTCCTGCACTTAGGACGGAAGAACCCAATGCACAGCTACAGACTAGGGACCGAATGGCTAGGCAGCAGTTCTGCGGAAAAGGACCTAGGGGTGACAGTGGACGAGAAGCTGGATATGAGTCAGCAGTGTGCCCTTGTTGCCAAGAAGGCCAATGGCATTTTGGGATGTATAAGTAGGGGCATAGCGAGCAGATCGAGGGACGTGATCGTTCCCCTCTATTCGACATTGGTGAGGCCTCATCTGGAGTACTGTGTCCAGTTTTGGGCCCCACACTTCAAGAAGGATGTGGATAAATTGGAGAGAGTCCAGCGAAGGGCAACAAAAATGATTAGGGGTCTGGAACACATGAGTTATGAGGAGAGGCTGAGGGAGCTGGGATTGTTTAGCCTGCAGAAGAGAAGAATGAGGGGGGATTCGATAGCTGCTTTCAACTACCTGAAAGGGGGTTCCAAAGAGGATGGCTCTAGACTGTTCTCAATGGTATCAGATGACAGAACGAGGAGTAATGGTCTCAAGCTGCAGTGGGGGAGGTTTAGATTGGATATTA